ACAGGAAAAATATAGAAACTCTTTGGTCATTTTTGAGCGAGATGCTAACGGTCTAATCCGATTCAATGATCTATGCTAAGCTAAGCTAAAAGTGCCAGACCCGGAGATCGGCTGAATGGATTCGAAAACGGTAAAACTCAACTGATTAACTCTAGGGGAGTTGGAAAATGAGCCTATTTTCAAAAATAGTGGTCCATGATCCAAAATTTGATCCATGATCGACATCAAATCGATCCACCATGGCAAACAGTGAATATTTGTGATGTTTAATGCATTTGAGACATTGTGTTTTCCTCAGTGCATAACTGACATGTCACAGGTTTATTTTTCATCTGTAAATGTTAGAAAGTCATGCAAATATATCCATTTTGTTGTCAGGAGTGGGCGAGACTTACGTGAGTGAACGGGCGCTGCTGCGCGCATGCGCACTAAACAGATGGAACACAATATAATAGTTGCGTAATAATTCTGAATAACATGCATTCTGCTAAAATATTTGTTGTTGGACATTAAATGTGACGCATGTAGAATTTGAATCCTACATATAAGTGTATTTTTATGATAGCATTAACTGTAAATCAAATGTTAGCTTGCTAATACAGCCCTAGCTCAAATTAGTTCATGTGTATTCCTCTTATCATGTAAAATATAGTCTGTTTTATATTATTTATTTAAATTTTTAATTTAGTGATTTAAACTTTTAATTGAGTGTTTTTAATGCTTTAAAGAGCATTTTATATTGTAATGTTTTAATGTTCTACTAATAACCATAGTGTATACAGCTGTCATAAAACCAGAGAGAAAGGCTGCATGGCTAGAAACTGCTGATCAACTGAATGCGCATGTAGCAGCATGTTAAAATGTTTTCAAATATCTTAAAACAAAGTCATTCAATCTTGGGCACAATACATTAAATACAGTCAGTTGTAGTCTATATTTTATTTTTATTGATTTGATTTAATTAGCATTTTCTGTATACTTTTTTTTTATTTTTTGGACTGATAACGTCAAATAATTGTATGTGAGAGAGTCAGCGCCGTAATATCAATGTGTTCCTATTGGTCAGTGTTAAGAGGAGCTCAGAGGCACGTTCAAGCTCAAACCGGTGCACAACGTTTTGCTACGGTTTCCGGTTGAACAACATGTTTCCTGGAAACAGTGTGCAATGGGGTTAGAGATACGTTTTCTCTTGTTTGGTGGGTGTGTCAAAAATGTCAGCCCAGTCAGCAGCAACATGTATATAAACCACGCGCGGTATTAAAGAGACAGCTCGCACAATGGGTCCAAAAGTCATAGTAGAAGTTTCTACATCCCTAGGATGCTGTAAATAAGCTGACACAAATCTTGCTATGGCTGTTGTATACACACTGATGCGCATACTGCTATATACAGTGGGAATTTGTAAGTAAATGTAATTAACATCAAAATAAAGTCCACAAAGTAATTAACATGTGCAAGTATATTGTTTGCACATGTTTATTTACATTAAAGGCAAAATAACTGAAATAATAAGAGCACATGTATAGATCTGGAACTTCTTTAAGTCTGTCTAAATATCATTTAGTAATTGCAATATCTTCTGGGCCATATCCTTTCCTTAGGAAGGTGTGCTAGACACTGATTAATGTAACATAAAAATACTATACATATTTATATATTTTGCTATTGTATTGTGGAGTGACACTTTCATAAACCTTTCTATACTCCTCTGATTATATAATGGTAAATATTACAATAACATAGCACAACAACAGTGATCAGCAATAATGATAAGCCTAATACTCACAATAAAAATAATAAGGTCATATAGATCATAACACAGTCTCGGAGGTAAGAAGTGGGTTATCCTTCACCTGAAATGTTTGTCTTTTATTCTGGACAGCGTATTTTGCAGTATTAAACACGTATTTATACCGATTTCATCAGACTCCGAAAATTCCTCAGTAAGAACACAAAGAATGGCCTTCTCAGCTGCCGTAGTTGCAACTCTTGCGTCATCAGAACAGGGTGTTCAACGCCCCGCCGTCATCGTTTAAAAAACGTTTCGCAACGTTTTTTCGGGGCTGAACGCATCCCAGTTTAGCCTGACAGTTAGCCTGCCCCGAAACAGGTTAGTTTCCCAGCATAAGTTGCCAGAGTGACTGAGCTTGAGCTATGGTAATTTTGCTTTATGAAACCAAATCAAGTGAAAATAAGTCAGACTAACTGAAATAAGCCTGGCTAATTTGGTAAACCTGTTTTATGAAACAGCCCCCTGGACACTTTTATCTTCAGGAACCCCGAGTTATAAAAACGATTTCATTCACTTTTATATTTATACTACTACTATTACGACTACTACTATAATATTTATTGATACAATTATTTATTTTGCACATGTATCTGTTTATATTTATCGGCGATAATAATAATAATAATGATAAATATGTAACTATTCATATTATATACTTTTTATTATTGTTATAATTATGTATGCTTGTATTTGTTTATTTTATTAACATATTTTTATTTTATATTATTTATCAACTCGTGTAACTATCTATAATTGAAATTACATAATTTAAATACTACTACTACTACTACTACTACTAACACTACTTGTAGTACTACTACTACTACTACTACTAATAATAAACATTTACAATAATTTCGAATTATTTTTTAGAACGAATGACCGCAACTGACCAATTAGAGACAAGTAATGGGCCACTATACCACGCCTATTTTATAAACCTAAAATGGCCCTCTTCCAACAGCAGCACATCACGTGAGAGGATCTTCCGGTTCATGCGGCAGCTCCGTAACGTGTCTTCACCGGGCATGTGCCGCTCTTGGTCGTGGTAGTATGGCGGTGCCGTGGAGCGCTGGAGCGGCTGTGCTGCTGGACTGGTGTTGCGGGTTCAGCAGAAGAGCTTTCACTCATGCGGCTTCAGCAGGCAGAAGAACAGAAAGCTCCACCGCTGCGACGCAGGTAGCGTCCACACGGATGAAGGTCACTGGTGTGAGCCAATGACTGACAGACAGATAACTGCCGTATATCATTACATTAGGTTTGAGAGGAGTGCAATTGTTTTTTTTGCGTTGTAACAGTGTTACAATTCTTATATCATTTACTGTATATGAAGTCGTGTTTGTAAGGAACGACAGGAGTCTTGACTGAACTCTGTTAAAGGTCAAGAACTGGTGTAGTAGACAGGAGGGTTGAGACAGTCTGTTGCATTGAATGTCAGTAGAGCAGAAGAGTGTTTGACAGGAAGTCTGGTGTTGTGCAACGTGCATGTCTTAAAGGGGTCATATGATGCTTTTTTTTAAAGATCGTTATTTTGTGTATTTGGTGTAACAGAATATGTTGACATGCTTTAATGTTCAAAAAACACATTCTTTTTCAAATACTGTACATTATTGTAGGTCCTCTATGCCCCGCCTCTCTCAAACGCTTCGTTTTCTACAAAGTCCCTCCTTCCGACAAGCGCAGTCTGCTCTGATTGGCCAGCTGACCCAGTGCATTGTGATTGGTCGAACACCGCAAGCACTCGTCGAAAATGTAACGCCCCTTAAACACGAGAAAGGTGTCGCGAGGGCTGTGAATCAGAGCCCTATTTCTGAAGGGTTATGTGACACTGAAGAGTTCCGATACCCTACTGAAGACTGGAGTAATGGCATTCACAGTTATAAATTGTTAGAATATTTCACAATATTATGTGGATTTGATACAACTGCATTTTTGATTAATAATACAAATCAAATTTATTTTTTAAAAATACAGATTGAGATTGACTTTCAAAAATAATAAATTACACTGAGTGTCAAGTGTGTCAGCTAGCCCTGATCTCTCTTTTGTGTACATTCATACTTTTTAAAGTATCTTTTTTTATTATTATTAATTAATAATAAGGCTTTTTAAAAAAAAAAAACATTTTTAATGTATTTATTTATTAAATTGCATTTACATGTTTGTGTTTCAGGCACAGGAATAGATGTCTGTACACAACACCACGGGTCTGTTGCAGTATACGCAGTGATGCAAAGTTAAAAGATCCTTTCTCACTAGCACAAAAGGACTTGCAAAATGTATATGAAGACATAAAAAAGGTAGATCAAGAACACTTTCCTAATGTGAAGTTTTATGAAAAAGCCTTTTAAAAAGCAAAGTACAGAAACGGACCCTTTGAACGTTCCGTTTCAACAGCTGCTCGTCTCTAAAGCGGAGCTGAAAGCGCTGTGTGATTATTACTTTGATGGGAAGGGAAAAGCCTTTCGACCCATGATTGTAATCCTGATGGCTCGAGCTTGTAACGTCCACAGCAATAAAGAAGGGTGAGAAAGAACTTCAGCGCTGTGTGTGTGTGTTTATAATGTGATGCATTAGTCAGTGTTTATAAAGCACATCTGATGTCCTCAGGGTCCTGCTGCCGGCGCAGCGCTCCATCGCTATGATCTCTGAGATGATCCACACTGCCAGCTTGGTGCATGATGACGTTATTGATGATTCGGACACGAGACGTGGGAAAAACACCATTAATAAAGTCTGGGGAGAGAGAAAAGTAGGTAACAAAACTGGGGTAACCCATCTTAAAGGGATAGTTCACCCAAAAATTAAAATGTGATGTTTATCTGCTTACCCCCAGGGCATCCAAGATGTAGGTGACTTTGTTTCTTCAGTAGAACACAAATGAAGATTTTGAACTCAAACCGTTGCAGTCTGTCAGTCTTATAATGTAAGTGGATGGGAATCATGGCTTTGGGAGTCAAAAAAACACACAAACAAAACCAAATTAAACTCTGCGGCTCGTGACGATACATTGATGTGTAAAGACACAAAACGATCGGTCTGTGCAAGGAACTGAACAGTATATCGTTTTTTACCTCTGATTTTCACCGCATTGTCTGTCATGAGCACGTTCTCGACAGCCGGCGCCTGACGCGTCTTCTTCTTGCTTTACGGCGGATCGCAGACTTATAAGTGCATTACCGCTAGGGCTGCACGATATATCGTTTCGGTATCAATATCGCGATGTGTGCATCCGCGATAGTCAAATCGCAGGATGTGCGATGTTTAGTGTAGGCTACTGATCGTTATATTTATACTGATAGTTTTCTTTGCTCACACACAGACACGGTGTCTACACCGGATGCGACAGCTGCACAGAGATACCCATTTCTAAATACATTTAGTAGCAGAGCTACAGCACGCGATTTTCAGTGCTAGTTTATCCTTTGTTGAAACTTCCGCGTCGTTGCGGAGAGCGGGGGTCACGGTCGTTTAGCAACGGCAGACTCCACGAAAGTGCAAGCTGCCGAGCACTTTGGAAAGAAGGAGAAAGCGGTGCAGCTGCGTTTTCCACCCGCGACTTACAGTCTCTACACCGGATGCGACAAAGCGACTTGCGTATCATTTGAACTTTGTGTCAGTACATCATAAACGAGGCATCAGTTAACTGTCTGGGATTTGTCATGTCGCGCCGCATCTAGTGTATTCAGTCACGCAGCATCACTGATTAAAATGGGTTCATAGTATTTTGTTGCGCCTGGTGTAGACACGGTGAGAGTCAAGCAGATGCACGTGAACACTGATTTCTGTTCACTTCTGCGTCTATTTGTGCCTGAAATACTGTGCTCTGCAAGTATCCTTGTAAACACAGTTGCTTATGGCTAAGGTGAAGGTAAACAATTGAGAAAGAAAATTGATGTGTAACAGTATATTGGTTCACAGCAGTTTAATGTTCCTGTTGCTTTCTGTCATGAACGTTAATTAAACAACAAAGAAAATCACTTTTATTAGATTTAATTTATAGTTTAATTTACTCGCCTACAAAATCACCCCAATCACTGATTCTTTTTTTTCCAAATAGAGCTATTGAAGTTTTTTTTTTTCATATCGCAGAAAATAAAAAATAACGCAATGTGAGTTTTTTCCAATATCGTGCAGCCCTAATTACCGCCACCTATCTCTCAAATGGACCATTGACACTCTATCTACAATCTCAATTAGGAGTGTCAATGGTCCATTTGAGAGATAGGTGGCGGTAATGCACTTAAGTCTGTGATCCGCCGTAAAAAGCAAGAAGACGCGTCAGCAGGCTGTTGAGAGAGCTCAGGACAATTCAGACAGCGTCAGCAGGCTGTTGAGAGAGCTCAGGACAGTTCAGACATTGCGGTGAAAATCAGAGGTAAAAAAACGATATAAATACTGTTCAGTTTCTTGCACAGACCGATTGTTTTGTGTCTTTACACATCAATGTATCATCACGAGCAGCCGGGTTTTGTTTGTGTGTTTTTTTGACTCCCAAAGCTGTGATACCTTATATACGCTAAAGTGAGTTTGACGTATTTTGTTGTTGCATTCAAGCAATTGACGCCGAATTGCCACTAATTCGAGTGAAAGTAAAATGCGCACGGCGCTTTTAAGCTATTTAAAAGTGAAGGAAAGCGAGGAAAAGAGGGAAAATTCAAACAAACTAAAAATGAACAATTCCTTTACTCCGAATTGGCGCTATTTGTAAGTGAAAGTAAAATGCGCACGCTGCTTTTATAAGCTATTTAAAAGCGAAGGAAAGTGAGGAAAAGAGGGAACGCCCCGCGCCCGCGGTGTTACCAGTATTACCGGTGTTGTCACACATCGATTAACCAGTGGGAAAATGTCCTCACCGTCATAACCCTAGTGTGTGTATATTAAAAATTCTAATTTTTTCAATTGTTTTACTTAATACTTGTTTTTTGTAATTCACACATATGAACATTGCATATTTACATTGCCAATTCATTTATTAGCTTGCTTTACTGAACAATACACAGAAGCAGCATAATAACCTGACTTAAAACAGCTGGTGTAGCAATCTCTATGTCTATGTATATAAATTGTAATGTGGGGGATGGGGTGTTTAGACATATTTTTTAAAAATGTCATCTCACCTAAATGTTTCCTCACTAACATATTTGTTTTTACAGTTTATATAATTAGGTGTTTTATGTTTATATTGTTAGGAAGATACAGAAAGCGTACAACTATAGATGTTGCCATGTAATTTTGCTAGCATAAGAAAACTTGATTTCAAACATTGTTTTTTTTTTTTTTTTTTTTTTTTTTACTAAAGGCCAAGTAAAAAGTCAGTAATAAAATAACAAATAAACAAATTACAAGCAGTAGCACAATTACAAATAAATATATATATATATATATATATATATATATATATATATATATATATATATATATATATATATATATATATAAATAATAGAATAAAGATACAAATTAAATAAACAGTGCTTTAAGTTTTTCAGGTAGGTTTAACGGTAGTATTCATACAGAAACGGAGTAAAGTAATCAAAATAAATGTAAAATAACACTGCATAGCCTTTGCTGTATAAATAAGTAATACAATAAATGTTTACATTTAATGTGTCCATTTAAAATGTAAAATACAGACAAAATCTTACAATTGAAGTTACAAAAACTATTCGGTGAATAGCAGCAAGTGATTTTTTTTTCTCGCTTGTTTTCTGATTATCATTCAGGACAGACACAAGCAATAGACTGCGGTCACTTTAAGACCTAATGCACGGATCCAATATACTGATACATATGAGTTTTCTTTCTCAACTGTTTGCTTTCATTTAAGTCATAACTGTTTTCTAAGACTGTGTTTATGTGAATATTCGCCAAGACAGGTATTTTTGTGTGTGTTTGACTGTTTACATGCAGCAAGCCACTAAAAAATAACTCTGTTCTGTACTTGCGATTTGTGAAATGCAGCTTCAATTTGCCATGACTATCAAAACATTGTATCATAAAGTTGTGGCTGTTGCAGTGGCCTCTTATCACAAAGATAATAATGGCTGTTTTGTTGGTAGTTACAAATGTTGGAAATTATTATAATTCATTATTAATGAACTTTAAAACAGTTTTCAGCAGTGGAGATTTCTTCTGGTACTTTTAGGTAAAGAGTCGTGTGTCGTTTCTTCACTAGCAACACTAAATACGTTTCAAACACTTCACCCTGGAGTTGCTCAAACAAAACAGTTCGATTGCAGTTCTGTTGGGAACCATAATTGTGCAGTAATATTACATTGCAACTTTAAGCATTAAAATATAGACTGACTTTTAGGTTGTGGTTGCACATTTACAAAAATCGGTGCCATTCGAAGTTCATTACGAATGATTCATTAAAGTTCAAGTGTTGTCTTAAATTATTCTGTTGCAAGATCTGTGTTAGGGCTGGGCGATATAGCTAAAAAATGTATCAACGATATAATGTTTCGTATCGATAATTATTGACATTTTTATAACCTTTTTTTAAAACCGAGCAATATATATATTTTTTAATTTAACCACTGTATTTTTAAATTAACCCAATTTATTGAGACTAACAACACATATTTTTTTTGTTTTAACAGCCAAACACACAATAAAAATGTAACTAATATCTAATTTCTAATGTTTTATATGCAGATTTAAATGGGTCTTAAGGAAACTTTTGTCTTGTCTCCCGAGGCCACAGGAAGGCGCATTGAGCAAAATAATGCAGCACATTTAAATTGTCAACGCAAGGAAATAAGTCTATAAAAAAAGTGCATTACGTCTAAATTAACTCCTATAAATCAAATATAATTTCGTAAATTGCATTAACTATTATGAACAAAACAGCATCATGTATTTATGCATTCTTTAATCCAAAGAGCCGAAGCACCATTCACACAGATTGTATTTAAAAGCATAAGAGACACAGTGAAAAGGAATAAAACCTCCACAAATTCACAACGTGTTTTCTAAAAGTTCAAACCGTTTTAACTTTGCATGGCTACATCTCTTGTGTGAGATGCGAGTGCAGCAGTCGTCCGTCTAAAAATGCGCTGAATATGCGTTCTGTGTGAATGGCTTGGTTTCGGTTTTCACCTAATCAAGATCTTCTCCACATTGAGCTTCTATATTTCTTTAATATCTTGAATGCATAACACAGCAGCAGCGCATCTCGTGGGCTAGACTAACAAATCATTCAAATGCAACGTCACTAATATTCATTCTTTATTCACAATCTCCTCATCACAGGCAGGCACAGCACTCATTTCAGCATGTGTTTGTGCTGTCTGCGTCACTCATAGCACGTGCTTATATCATGCGCTATTTTTATATCGTTATCAGAAAAGGTGTACCATCGATAAATACCGATACCGTTTTATCGCCCAGGCCTAATCTGTGTCATGTAAAAGTCAAGTGAACAGTTAGCTTGTGTTTTTCAGCTTGTGGATGACATTCTGGACTTCACTTCCAGTGCAAACCTCCTGGGGAAGCCGTCGGCTGCCGATCTCAAACTGGGTTTGGCCACCGGTCCCGTTCTGTTCGCTTGTCAACAGGCACGACAGCTGAACACATCTGTGCTCTCACAATATAAACTCACGTCTCTGAAGTACAGAATCAGGGGAATCAGATCTAATGGTTGACCTGGCTTATGACAGTCATAAACTTAACCGTAACACAGACTGTAGTTTGGTTTTTCTAAAGTCCTCCCAACCATATTCACACTACTCTCACTCTTTAGTTTCCTGAGCTGCATGCAATGATAATGAGACGCTTCAGCTCTGATGGAGATGTGGATCGAGCCTGGCAATATGTCCTGAAGGTGAGAAGAATTGCATTATCTAGAACCTTTATACAGTGTGTGTCATTAAGAATGTAAGTCTATCCCTCACAGCCTCGTCATCCATGTTAAATTCTCTGTGACCCTGGACCACAAAACCAGTCACAAGTGTCAATAAGCTTTCCATTGATGTATGGTTTGTTAGGATAGGACAATATTTGGCTGAAATACAACTCCAAATCCAAAATTAAAGTTGTCCAAATATCACTAATCAAAAATTAAGTTTTGATATATTTACGGTAGGAAATTTACTAAATATCTTCATAGAACATGAGCTTTACTTAATATCCTAATGATTTTTGGCATAAAAGAAAAATTGATAATTTTGACCCATACAATGTATTTTTGGTTATTGCTACAAATATACCCCAGCGACTTAAGACTGCTTTTGTGCTCCAGGGTCACATACGGTGTCTAATCTGACTAAGGCCTATTGTGATATTTTTTTATGACAATTTCTCCCCAAAAGTTTTTACTTAAAAATAATTGCATAAGAATAAAAGTTTTTATTGACCATATTATAATAAAAAAAATGTCATGAAAGCAGTTGAAAAATATTGCACAAATATGTATGCCTATAATATGTACTCATTATATTGCTATACTATATATACGCTTGCATAACCTTATTTTATTTAGTTTTTTTGCATTGTTAGCAAAAGCTAAATAAATACCATTTCTCAGTATTTTTGATTTGCGGTGAAATATGGAGAAAGTAAAGCATTTGACAACGATAAAGAAAATTGACAAATGGACAAAAAAGCAGGTGGTTTTTCAAAATTCCATTTAAAATGTGTATTTAATTTCATTTTAAATTATTTCCTTTACTGTTTTGTTTAACTACATTCTAAAATATAAATACATCTTTAACTTTGTTAATTTATTTAAATTTTAAATGCTTTATTAATAACTAAATACTTAAAGGAACACTCCACTATTTTTGAAAATAGACTAATTTTCCAACTCCCCTAGAGTTAAACAGTTGAGTTTTACCGTTTTCGAATCCATTCAGCCGATCTCCGGGTCTGGCGGTAGCACTTTTAGCTTAGCTTAGCATAGATCATTGAATCGGATTAGACCGTTAGCATCTTGCTCAAAAATGACCAAAGAGTTTCTATATTTTTCCTGTTTAAAACTTGACTCTTCTGTAGTTACATCGTGTACTAAGACCGACGGATAATGAAGAGTTGTGATTTTCTAGGCCGATTTGGCTAGGAACTAGACTCTCATTCCGGCGTAATAGTCAAGGAGCTTTGCTGCCGTACCATGGGTGCAGCAGGCGCAATATTACGCAGTGCTTGAAAATAGGCTTATTAGAAGTTACCTAGCTGGGGACTATTTTCAGGCGCTGCGTAATATCATTTGAGATGCTAACGGTCTAATCCGATTCAATGATCTATGCTAGGCTACAGCTAAAAGTGCTACCGCCAGACCCGGAGATCGGCTGAATGGATTCGAAAACGGTAAAACTCAACTGTTTACCTCTAGGGGAGTTGGAAAATGTAAATGCAAAAAATAGTGGAGTGTTCCTTCAACGTACTTTTAAATAGTTAATTTGTCAGTAATATAATTGGATTGATTCCTTTGTCTGTTATTTATTTTTTAAATAAAATGATTTAAGTTTTCATATAAAATGAAGGTATGTTTTATGAATCTATGTCAATCCTAGTTCTCCTCTTGACGTGTTTTTGATTTTTTACTTGAAGTTTCTTGTGATTCGTCCCAGTAGAATAGTTGAAGTAGCATTACAGAAGTTTCTATAACTAGCTGTGAACTCCTTTTGTTTTCTGTGTTCACGCGCACACAGAGTGACGGTGTGAAACAGACTAACTACCTCGCCCAACACTACTGCCAAGAGGCCATTCGTCAGATCATCCGGCTGCAGCCGTCAACCGAGCGAGACGCGCTCATCCAGCTGACCGAGCTGGTGCTGCGGAGGGACAAGTGAGCCTGGACGCAGAGCTCCACACTCAGGCAGCTACACCTCTGCGGGGCCCTGCTGTGAGACGAGAGACAGACTTCAGGGCTTCAGAGATCAAAGAATCACATTTACATTGTTGTCACTGTATGCTTGACCGTACTGTAATCACAGAGCCGTAATCTCCGTTAACCTCTGCGTGAGGTGTTTTACTGATACGGCAGGAAAAACTGTGAAATCATTGTAATTCCAGGTGTAGCACAGATGCTCACTTAAACATCCGTCCACTCTATGAAAGGCCAAACGTCTTTGACGTCGAAGATGCTCTTGTTAATGTACTTTTGCATCAAGTGCTTAACAACCAAGGCCTTAAACCTCACTGACTATTTACTACAATTAAATAAGGTATTTTTTAAGTAAACTTCCTGTTTGACTCTTATTTTCCCCATCTTAAAAAGGAAAAATATAATGGCTCGTAATATTTAGTCTGCCCTTAGTTTTATACATAATTTGTAATAATCAGATTATTGTGTTGATATTAGTAGAAATCTATATACTCCGTGTTAAAGGGGTCATATGATGCTTTTTTTAAAGATAATTATTTTGTGTATTTGGTGTAACAGAATATGTTGACATGCTTTAATATTCAAAAAACATTATTTTTCAAATACTGTACATTATTGTAGGTCCTCTATGCCCCGCCTCTCTCAAACGCTTCGTTTTCTACAAAGTCCCTCCTTCCGACAAGCGCAGTCTGCTCTGATTGGCCAGCTGACCCAGTGCATTGTGATTGGCCTAACACCGCAAGCACTCGTCGGAAATGTAACGCCCCTTTCCATAATCGCGAGCTTCATTTTTCAAAATAAATGTAAAGACAGAGCCCGAAAGGGGAACAGAGTCGCGTGACAGACACAGTGATGAAGCTGGTATGTGTTTGCAGTACACAAGCCACGGTTAAGACTGCTGACTCCACTGATCTCTCTCACACACACACACACACGTGGGTGCACATGCGCAAAACTGTAAAAAAAAAATTGAGCAGTCAATAGCAAATACTTAAACTAATAACAAAACAATAGCTGATTCAGAAG